AACTTGCTCCTGAGTGCCTTGCTAGTACAGGATTAGTTTGACAAGTGCCTCCTTGCACCTAGCCATACAGGCCACTTAAGAGACCACTGTCCATGCAGACATAACTATCAATGGAACTGGCAACAGACCTTGATACTGTCCATATGATACATATTTTGCAAGCATGCAGAATAAAAGGGCAGTAGAGAGATGAAGGCTTCCATTTAAAGCAAGGTCAGTATCCCTGCAGACAGCCCCTAAAGAGCAATGTGTAAAACCATGAGTATGAAGCCTCCTGGAAAGTTGGACGTGTCAGGAACTTTGAATGTGCAAAACAGAAAGACACAGGCTGCTACCAAGTAAAAGAAAGCAAAGAAAAAGGCTATGTGGGCTGCAAATGACAAGGTCTTAGAGGTAGTGCTGATCTGGGGAATGCATCACATTTCTATTCTGGACATAGAACTATGGAATTTGTTTCCCCTGTTGACTTTCTGTCTTGCTACTTTTCTATTTCTTCTTTTGGGAATGAAATTGTTTACTCTGTGCCATTATACTTTCTAAGTATATAATTTTCCTTCTGATTTTACAAGGACTCACAGCTGAGTTTGCCTCCATCTCAAATATTTTAAACTTGGACTTTTGAACACTGTTAGAACTGTAAAGATGGTAGGAACTCTGGAGGTGGACTGTATAATTGTACTTTCAGATGGACATATAAGCCTTCTGAAGGCCAGGGATGGAATTTTAAGGTGTTTTATTTTCAATTCTCTAAGATGAGTAGGGGAGGGGCTCACATGTCACAGCATCATGTGAAGGTTTGAAACAGGGTCTTTCTTTTACTGTTCCCCCTGAATATACCAGATGTGACCTTCTAAGGAGTCTCATCTCCACCTACCATCTCAGCACATGCAGACATGAGCTTCCACATCTGGCTTCACATGGGTTCTGGGAATTTTAATTCAGCTTCTTGGGCTTGTGTGACAAGCACTTTTACCCACTGAGCCATCTTCTAGTCTAAACATTATGATTTAAAGAGATAAGAACTTGTAAGGGTTAATCTTGATTGTCAACTTGATTGAACTAGAAGTGTTAAGGAGATTAGTAAAGTACACCTCTCAGTTTATCTGTGAGGGCATGAACCAGTAGCATGGGTATTTTTCGTGCTTCCTCAATGCAATGAAGTGAGCTGACCTGTTCCACCATGTTCTTCCTGCCACAGGGGGGTGAAAAACCTCAAAACTATAAACAAAATAGTTTCCTTCTTCGTTTTTCTCCTGTTTATCACAGACACACAATGTCTGAATAACACACATTAGCTTTTACTATTTTTTTCATTTAAGTATATTTATTTTTAATTATTTAATTAGAGTGAAAATAATTCCACTGACCTCTGAAGCCAATAGAGAACACAGAATGAGTTAGGGCTAATAAAACAGAAGCTTCTCCTGAACCTACCTGCTCATCTCTACAATTTCTCTTCAAAATACTTGAAACTTATAAGTATCTGTTTGTACAGCTTTCTACTTCTACTATATGGTAAACTCAAAAGTGAAGAAAAATTTACTGCTAATTTTTTTAAAGGGTTTCTTTGTGTAGTCTTGGCTTTCCTAGAACTAGTTCTGTAGACCAGGCTAGCCTCAAACTCAGAGATCTGACTGGCTCTAGAGCCTCCTGAGTGCTGGGAGTAAAGGTGTACAAAATCACTGCCCAGCCTTACCTTTAAATCTTTAACCCATGGCAGTATAACATGGGAAAATTTAGCAAAAATTTAAAGAATGGATATATGCAGCTGTTATAATAACTTACTATTCAAAGATTCAAAGGGACTGCTTTGAATACTTTACTTATGTATGACTGTCTTGCCAGCATATATGTCTGTGTATTATGTGTGAGTCTGGTGTCCTTGGAGGTCAGAAGAAGGCACTGGATCCTCTGGAGCTGAAGCTATGAATGGTGGTGAGCCACTATATGGGTGCTGAGAACTGAACTTAGGTCCTCTGCAAGAACAGCAAGTGTTCTTAAACACTGAGCCATCTCTCCAGCACTCCAGCCCTGAATATGCTGAATTTATTAAATGCCATGAAAGTTCAACAGAAAGGAAGTCCTAACCCAGTTACCATGTAATTATGCATCCAGATGATTTTTTTAAATCAACATCATTATCAATATATATCACACTTTTCTCTTTGGCTTTTCTTCTTCTTACTTTTCTTCCCTTATCTCTGCCTTACTAGTCATTGAAAAATAATGATAAAACCATCTTTAGATATATAAGCTGAGGTACTTAGTGAACCAAGAAAAAAGATACTGTATAAACATACTCCAAAATATACAACACATGCAGAAAGCTGCAGACAAATATTAACAAAAATGTAGTATTGAGATGGTTATCTGACTTAGATAAGGGAAACAACACTACCTTATTTTTCAAGGCAAGTATTATGAAATGAGCGAAAGTAAAATTAAAACAAAAAGAAAGTGTAAAAAGATGAGGGCTAGAGATGGGTCAGTGGTTAAGAGCTCTGTCTGCTCTTCCAAAGGACCCAGGTTCAGTTCCCACCACCCATATGTCAGTTTGCAGTCATCAGTAACTCAAGTTCCAGAGTATCTAGCACCTTCTTCTGGCTGCCATGGGCACCAGGCAAGTACACAGTGTGATTACATACATGCAGGCAAAACAAACATACACACAATTTTAAAAAATGTAAAAGATTAATGAGCTAGCTGGGTGTGGTTATTCTGTTGACAAACACAGGCAGGTCATAAGACCCAGAACAGCCTGAACAATCTAGGAAAATCCTCTTTCAAATTAAAATTAAAAGTTGGGGATATAACTCAGTTGGTAGAGTAATTGCCTAGAATGCATGAAGCTCTAGATTTGAACCCCAGCACAGCATAAAAATTGTAGCTAACTCCTGTAATTCCAGCACTTGTGAGGCTGAGGAAGAAGGATTCTAGGACTTCAAGAGCAGACTGAACTACAAAGTAAGTCTGCCTCTAAACAACAAAGCAGTATCATTCATAGGTATTACTTGATAAAGTTCTGTAACTCAAAGAACTTCCTGCTCAACAGCAAAATGAAACTTGAATTCCATGATCAGAATGAACTCGTCTGTGTAACACTTACATACTTTGAAAAACCAATAGCTTATCACAGCACACACATTTAGGCAAAATACTCTATACACAAGAAAATAAATATATCTTAAAATTTTTAAGTAATCCATGTCTGTCACATTTTAATGCAGCTTTATGTGTGAAATGCTCCCTAAAAATGTCTAAATTATACAAACTTCACTTCTAACACAGCATTTAAAGATATAAATCCTTGCCCAGGCAGTGGTGGCACACACCTTTGATGCCAGCACTCGGGAGGCAGAGGCAGGTGGATCTCTATGAGTTCCAGACCAGCCTAGTCTACAAGAGCTAGTTCCCAGGACAGCCTCCAAAATCAGAGAAACCCTAAACCCTGTCTTGAAAAACAAAACAAAACAAAACAACAACAACAAAGATATAAGTCCTACATAATTGAGTTCAATTTGCTGTTTTCCTGAGGTATTAAAATAGCCACTACTTAACAATAAAAATCTTAAGTAATACACATACAGAATTCACTCAATGATATTGATATATAGTCTCTAAGCCAAGTCCCTACTCATGATCAAATTGTTTCAATCTGAAATTATAAAATTAATGAAGGTATGTATGAGCATCAATGTCTTTTATGTGTCCAAAACTGAAAGAGAAAAATCAGTTTCTAATATTCCATTATAAAGTTAAACTGTTAGAGAAACTCTCCTTTGTAATCATGCTTCAAGTATTCCTTTTGGTGTCTTCCTGAAAATTTGTCATACAGAAAATATAAGCCTCCGCATTAAAGATTTCTTTCAATATGTTTTAATTTTTAATAGGCCACAATCCAAATCAGGATAGATCCTCCAATATGTCATGTTGTTATATCTGTCATCATTACAGCCTCTTTCAAGCGGCAAGAAAAAAAGTATTCAACCCACTCAATACTTTTAAAATCCTCATTTTTTAAAACCTTTAAATGAATGTTATTCTAGTCCACTTAGCTAAAAGAAAACAGATACATCTTTGCAATCTATCCTGGCAAGTCCATGTTTAATGTCAATGCAACTGTTAATGGCTCAAAACCAAACACTGTAACAAAACACAGTCTGAATACTCCTTGTATTTGAGAGTCTAAGTACAAACATATGTCCATTCATAATATACTCTGTCATACAAATTCAATACTACTAAATAGCAACTTCCCATCACATATAGGTTAAAATAAAATTGTCTTCTTTAATGTTCAAAGGACAGCTTCCAAAGCTAGAGGAGAAAAGCCTTTCAACTTTAATACAAAGCAAAGTACAACTCAATGTCATTTTTACCTCTAAGGCAGCACCACAACTGAAACAAAATGATCATTGAAAGATCAAGTATCCTAGCATCCCCATGATTATTTACTTCTCTGACTCAACAGTCAGTATACGTGAGCTCTTTTGTCCGTCTTTCAGCATCCCAGCGTATCAACAGCATCATCTTTGTCAAAGCAAATCTCTCTGGTCATTACTTCAGTACTACAAAGTCCTGGCCTTCCTTGTTACCACACAGAGAAGAGATTCCGTAGTTCCGTCCCTCTTCCATTACAGAGAGAAAAGCAAGGCAAAATGAAACGCTCATAATGTTAAAGAATCCTCTCTGTTCGGTCCTGGTAATCAGAAGAGTCATGAGTACAAGTGATATATGGGTCACCCACAGAACAGATGAAGCAGCTTCATGACCCTCCAAGTTCAGGGAAGGCACCCAAAGCCTCCAGGGAAATGGGGCAGAACCAGAGCGATCTCTGGGATGAAGACCAATTTGGGTCTGGCATCGGCCCAGGGCGTGGGCAGGGAGACCCAGGGGTCTCGGGCAGCCTCTTCTCCATGCCTCCGTAGGGCTGGGCGAGGGGTGCGGAGGGAGCAGAGCGGCTACTTGGAGACGCCCTGGGGCTCGGGGGTGTGTCCTACCTGGGCCGCGGCGGACGCAGGATCTCCGGCGGAGGACTGGGGACCAGCTCAAGGTCCGCACAGGCAGGAGTCACCGCTCAGCAGGCTGGCCCGCCGCCGCCTGCCCATCCCCCGCCGCCCACTGCGGCGGGACCCGAGCGCGGCTTAGACGGCCGGCGGTCCCCTCTAGTGCCGTCCGCGTCTAAAGGCGGCGGCAGCGGCTGCGGGTGTTGCTGCGGGCCTCCCCGGGCCGCTGCTCTCGTGCCAACCCCTGCACCTCCTCCTGCCGCCGCCGCCGCCGCCTCGTCCCCACCGCTCCCATAGCCGCTGCGGCGACTACTGCAGCGCCCGCTGACCCGGCCCGACGTTACTCTCCCCCCCGCAAGCCGCACAGCCTAGCCCACCTGCCCTGCCAGCGCGCACCGCCCACCTCTCCGCCGCGGGTGCTGATTGGAGAGCACGTTCCCAACCCGTGGCGTCGGTTGGCTAGTCCCATTGCCTATCAGGGAGGGGGCGGAGAATTGGGCCGAGAGCGTCTCCGCCCCCCACCGGAGAATTGCCGCTATCTTCAGGTTTGCCTGAGAGGACGAGTTACCGGGAAAGGAGCATCACAATGACAATACGCATGCGCACGGGGATTCTGGGACTTGTAGTTCCAGCCTCCGCCGCAACGGCCGGCCGGCCTGTCCTGAGATGTGGGGTGCAATGCTACTGAGAGCAGTCTTGAGTAGGTGTTCTCCTAGCTCAGCGTGTTTGTGGCCAAAGAGTTGGGCCCTTTGGAGAAAACTGGAAATACTTTGTCACTGAGGCAGCCGGGTCGTTGCTTAACTTCTACTCGCCTGCTCAGTCCTAAAGCCGCCAGGATCTGAAGAATGGGCGCTGTCCCCAGAACCTTAACCCAAGCTCTTGACTAGGGCCTTGAAACCTGAAGGTGTGAAGAGGAAAGAAAGGAGTTACAGAGATGCCAGCCTGGAGAAGGGAGTACCCCTTCACGACCTACGAAAAAAAGATAAAGACAATGCGCAGCTTCGTGTGGACCAGCCTAGTACTCTAAGCTGGAGTTTGCAGGAGTGGCGCAGAGACATACAAAGACTAACTACGAAGGGTGGAGCATTGAGACATTTATATTTCATGATTAAGGAGTACCAAGCTCTTTGGTGAAAAGCAAAACAAAAAACTAAGAGTAAGTCCCCCTCCTTTATTTACTGGCTATGATATAGACATTAGAAATTAAGAATTAACTTTAACAAGAACATAAAACTAGTGTCAAAACCAAATCTCAGGTCTGTTTAAATATCGCATGTCCAATGCTCTTTCTTCTTAACAGCTACAATGACTGCCACGTGTTTGCCATGGACAGAAAGGATGCAATGAATTTTAATGCTTCACTTTTAATTATCTTCTTAAGTGACAGAAATGTTCTTACTGTTGAGGAAATACCAGCCTCTTTATGTTCTTTTACGGACTTGGGACATCTTTACTGCCTGTCATGTTCAGATTCTTGGACAAAAAGCAGAACAAAATGTACATTCAAAGGCAACTGATGATGAAGTCATCTTGTTCTATTCAACATAAAGAAGTTGCCAAATTGTTTTGTTTTTACTGATGAAAGCAGAAAAATGCTTTTTTTCCATTATTATAAACGTGCTACCACACCAGGTAGAATTTTTTTTAATTAGGTTAACATATGAATGAGTTTCATTGTGGGATCTTTGTTGTTTTATCTTTAAGATAAAATGTAGCCCCTATATCCCTATGATAACATCAAACTTCTGATCTTCCTGCCTCAGCCTTGGGCATGCTGGAATTACAGCTTCCAGCTAGCATCTTGACAACCAACTTTGTAAAATAAGCGAAGCCAGAATCAGCTAGGTAAGTCACTCCCCAAATTCAGCCCCATAAAAAACAATGTGATACAATAAATGTTTAAGGTTCAATCCCAGCATCAAAAATAAATGTTTACTATTGCCTTAAACACTGAGTGACTGTGTGGTGATAGATAACTAATAAAGTAAGATTTGGGAAAACAAAGATGAAGGACTCAAGTCTCTGTGTGCCCTGGGATATTAAAGGAATGAAACTTGGATTTATGAAGAATCTTACAAACTATTCTAGGAGAGTAAAATTCAGTTTTATGCAGGGAAGTCTTCATACAAGACACAAAGCACCTTACAATAGTTTTTTTCTTTGTTCTAACATGAAATAAATAACACCGAATAATCTTCCCTTTTCCTGTTCTTCCATGAGTGTGCTACTCTAAAACATTTAGGTACCATTTTGTAATGTTCCCCTGACCTCAACAGGAAATGAGCTAGGTGGCTCTTTTATAGGAGGACATCACAGAATGTTTTGTTTGTTTGTTGTGTCCTAGCAGGGCAAGCACACTCCCAAACCTCATCCCCAGACCCAACACCACAGTGTGAATCAGCATGACCACCAAGGTAGAGGAGATGTCTGCCATTCTTCCCTCTCTTTAAAATTTCTGCTGGGCTAGAGGTGCAGAGTGTGCTGAGTTCAGTCCCCCTTGCTTGTGATGGCTAATATCAGTTGTCAATTTGACAGGGTCTAGATTCACCAAAGAGACAAGTTCTTTGCCTTGTCTATGAGGGATTATCTAGATTAAGTCAGTTAAAGTGGGAAAACCCACCCTGAATTCAGGCAGCACTGTAGGAGCCGAGGAAGCCTGAGTGAAGTCTTGAGTGAGTGTGAACTGTTGACATGGCCATGGCCACATAAAGGACCCTAGCCTTGGCCCCAAGATAATGGCAAAACTGCCCCCACCCTGAGTCTGTGTGCAAATACTGATTGCATGTGCAGAAAAGCAAGTTAAACACCAGCATTCATCTCTCTCTGCTTCCTTGAGTACAGATGCAAGGTGACCAGACATCTCAAGCCCCCTCCTATGGACTGAACCTTTGAACTATGAACCAAAATAAGCCCTTCCTTAAACTGCTTTTGTTGGGTATTTTGTCAACACAACAAGAGAAATAACTAAATGCAGCACCCGAAAAGCAAAAACTAAATCCCCAAGGGCTAAGAATGTAGCTCTCTGGTACAGCACAGGTTTATCATGTACAATGTTTTGAATCCGATCTCTGGGGTCAAAAAGAAAAGAAAAGGAAAGGAAAGAGCAAAAACAAAACCTCTCAGACCTCAGAATTGCATCCTAATGATTGTGCATTAATTCTATCTCATTACAGATGTCAGGCTGTTTTGTAAACTGAATACACAATGCTTTGAAACATGAAACTCAACAGTGGGGTACACAAATGCTTCTGCAAACTACCAGCCTTTGCCTTTAAATTTTTCATCAAACAAGTTTCTATTTGAACATTACTCAATCCACAAGATCTCTACAAACAAATTTCATAGGGTGGACTACTTTGCTAGGTACCGGAAAAACAAACACAAAACTTAGTTCAGAGTTTTGCAATGTACTTAGCAAATATGCAAATTCTATAGTGTGCATTGTAGTAACTGCCACTTTGGAGGTTTGTAGCTTATTTAGACTCTATAACAGGAGTCACCAAGCAATATGGTCAGATTGAGTCAGATGCTTGGGATTCTCTGAGCGTGTCTGCTGCACTGTTTTTGTTTGTTTGTTTTAAACAGAAATGCATTCACATCAATTCTATGAACCACGCTAAATATATATTTGCATTCGGATTTCATTTCTATTAATTTTTAAAACTTCATCATTTAGTGGTGATAAGCTTTATTTCAAAAATTTAAAAATACAAATAAAAAGAATAAGGTCAGAGGAAGAATGTTGGACAGCTAGACAAGGTAACCATTATTTAGGGGATTCAAATTTATTTAATACCAATTTAGGCTTGATGACAATTAAGATATAAGGGAGTATTGGGACTGACAAAAGATAGTTTGATTTATAAAGTAATTCTAGGGTGTGATCAGTGATGGGCCATTTGGCTAACATGCCTATAGGCCTGGGTTTGATCACTAGCACTGTGGAAGGAAAGGAGGAAATGGCTCTATTCTAATTACAGTTATCTCTTAATCTGGTTGCCATTTTTCCTTAGCTTTTTTGAGACTCAGATTGATGACATCATATCATTAAAGTTAACAATTAAGATTTTTTTGTAAAGTCCTAAGGATTGAACCCAAGCATAATATACACATAAATTATATACACATAACAGGCAAGTACTCTATTCCTGAGCTGTAGCCCCAGCAATAGCTAAGTGTTTTGGAATAATGAATTCTACATTTGCTGGGTTTGTTGTTTGGGTACTGGAAATGCAATGCTCAAGGTTTTGTTTTTGATCCCTGTTTTGTGTTACAGGAAAGTCATCCAATAATACATCATTGTATTCCTATGGGTTTGGTGGTTCATTAATTTGCTTTGGAGTTTTTGTTGTTGTTGTTTTGTTTTGTTTTTGAGACAAAGTGCCACCACTACTTCAGGTTAACCTCAAACACCCCTGACTTACTCCTGCATCCATATCCCAAGTGCTGGGATCATATGCTTGTGCCACACCAAATTGTATACTCACAGTTTTAAAATGAGAAATGGTGAGAGTGCAGTGCTTACTGATGTGTGCGCCTCTCGACAGTCAAGAAAAATTTCTATGACTTCTATGGTTGTTTGGGATTAGCTCTCCACTCCAAATGCTGAACTGTATCTGCTGTGATTTGGGCTGGCAGTGCTAATAGCACCCCCTAGTGATTGGAGTCTACCACTGCAAGCAGCATTCAATAACCTCCTAGAGGTTTTTATTTTTAAAATTTTTGAGACAGGATAATAATCTTGATATATATTATTGTAACATTTTCTAGTAGTGTTATCTGGGCACAGTATGTTATATGTGACATAAATATTTGTAGATGATAGATAGAATTTCCAGAAGTGTATTATATACTTACATCAAGCTTACTATATAACATCATATGAAGAATTAAATGAATATAAGATGTGGAACTGATATGTTCAATAGTTCTGTTTTCTAATTTCATCTTTGTAAAATATTTATTATTATGATCTGTGTGTAATCCTTCATACTTCCTACTCCCTTTTAATATTTAAGGACACTCAATAGTTAGAACAAAAAAATGAAAATAAAAAACAATAACAACAAAACCCACAAACCTATTTTTGCAGAAATTAATGCTTGGAGTGGGACTATAGCTTGATAATTGAGCACTTGCCTGACATGCTCAAAGTCCTGGGTTTGATCTCCAGCACTGCAAACTGATTAATGAAAAAAGTTAAGTACTAATAAGTACAAACTATATACATGCTCTCGTACTTTGTATCAACTGCCAAACACATACTCTAAATACTTCTAGCTTTGCCTTAAAAACAGTGTGTGTGTGTGTGTGTGTGTGTGTGTGTGTGTGTGTGTGTGTGTGTAGGTATATGCATGCCAGTGCAGAAATACCTGATGTGGGTGCTGAGAATCAAATTCCTGTCCCCTGGAGGAACAACACATGCTCCTAACCACTGAGTCATCTTTCTTTCCAGCCTGGGTTTGCTTTATTTTTCTTCTTTTTTTAATCTACTTTAAGATGGTTATATATTGCTTTATTGACTTCTTGAAGGCCTACCCAGAAACATGATCAGGATTGTTTAAAAACAAAGTATCAAGCCAGGTGGTGGTGGCACACACCTTTAATCCTAGCGCTTGGGAGGCAGAGGCAGGAGGATCTCTGTGAGTCTCAGGCCAGCCTGGTCTACAGAGCGAGTTCCAGGACAGCCAGGACTGTTACACAGAGAAACCCTGTCTTGAAATAACCCCCCCAAAAAAACAAAACCAAACAAACAAAAAACAAAACACCAAACCAAATGACAAAAAACCCCAAAGTGGAAGAGACAGCACATCATCATTTATCTGTCTGTTTGTCTGTCTGTCTGTCTCTCTATTTGCTTGCTTGCTTACTATTATTTTGTCCTGGAATTCTAAATGTAGACCAACTTGGCATCAACTTCAGAGATCCACTTGTCTCTGCCTCTAAGACTAAAGGTGGGTGTCATCTCTCCTGGCTTGAGAGCATAATCTTAGTAAATTTAACTTCAGTACTGGTAAAAGCAGAGAAGCAGAATTTAGTTTCCTGGCTCCAGAGCTGCATTCGGGGGGAGTTGCAGTCTGTCCTCAGCACATTCTTTTGTGTGAGCTGTTACACTTGTTGTTTATAAATCAGGTTGCTGATACATAGAAGAATGTCCAGTTGGAGATGGGTGCTTGGTTCAGTGAGTTCTGAGCCAGTTAGAGCTGCAATGCAGAACCTTTGCTTCAATCCCCTCCGAGTCCCTTGTAACTATTGGTCATCTGCTCTAGGTATATGAATGCCATGCTTTGTATGTGTGGGTATTCTAATATTGGTGCATGTTTATAATAGTTAATTACTCCTGCTGAGCTGACCTCCTATTATGTTCCCTGTCCTCACTCAAGCTCACCGTGTTGTTCAGGCTATGCTCAAATTTATTGGACTAAATGCTTCCTTCCCAGCCTGATGAGTAGCTGGCCAATTCCCCTTTCTCCCTACTTTTGTTAGCTTTTGATTTAGAGTGTACTTCATCTCACATGACTACTCTTGATTTTGGGGACAGGGGTTCATCTGCATGAAGCATCTTTTTCCATTTCATCACAGTCAGGGCCTGTAGAGAGTTTTGTTTTGGGCACTATGTGTGTGTGTGTGTGTGTGTGTGTGTGTGTTTGCATATAGTTATGTGTGTGCTATGGTGTGTTTGTGGAGGTCAGAGGACAGTGGGTGTAGTCAGGTCTCTCCTACTATTGTGGGAGTCCTTTGAGAATAAACATCCCAACATCAATGGAAGAGAAGAGATGTCACCAGTGGACCAAAGCCAGGACAGCTCTTGAAAGGCTTCGATCCTAGGTACAGTTTGCATTCTCATTGTATATTCTAAAACCACAAGATGGGGTGGGCAAGCAAGCAAGATCTTACAGAAATGTATGGCAGTCAGCATGTTGCTAGGGCAATGACCCATTGTTTCAGCTGTTTCTCCAGGTCATTCTGTTTCAGGTAGCAAGTGAAGTCACGCTTGGCAAACA